CGTCCATTGCCTCTCGCTCTCCTCCTTGTCGCGTTATTTTCGGTGTCACCGGAGCTTGACCCATGGCGACTTTTCCGTTCTTCTCTCCACGCAGCGTATACCTGGTGAGCTCGCCAATTTGTCGGGTATCAGCCCGATCTGATGTTAACTTAACACAATATTAGCCGCCTCCGATCGTTTACGATCGCAGTTCCATACGTCCAAGGTTCGAAGTCTGAATATACAAGTAAATGCGTGAGAGAACGAACTCAAGTCCCGTGCAAAGTTTCTAACTATCAATAATATTTCATTCTGATGTATAACGTGTATTACCATCGTCGTGTCTCATTGAGGTCTCACATCAATTCTCTCGAATAACGTTCCCCACCTAGCTTATGTGCAGGTAAACAAGTAATATGATGTAATCAAATTAGAGGTCACTTGGCCACCTCCACATCCTTCTAGGCAGTGACTGATCAAACTGGCTTCGATTAAACAATAACAATAAACTTCATGAACAAGATTCTGCCTACACTCTTACGGAAGTTCTAAAAGTACATTAAGACAATGAGGGGTCCCTGACACTGTGACATGTAACGCACTCAAAGCTATTGCTTTACCACTTCACTTGATTTCAGGCCAATTATAGTCTTACTCACTGGACTTTCAGTTCGTTATTAGTCTTAAGTTCAAATTAAGAGTCCCTCCTTAATCTTTAAGATCACCTCAGACTAGTTTTGATCTTAAATTGCACTTAAAGACCAAATCAGGCCCACTAGTGATACGAATGCACTTACTGCAACTGGTGGTACAATACCCAAAGACAGTATGACCTCTCTGATCCTTTAGTTATTTTTGGAGAATTTGCTATGCTGCCCCAATAAACCAACATTTCATTCTTATTAAGCTAGTGGCTGTCCAAACGATAGCTGGGCAGTTCTCCTTTGAAATCCTTGCTAGTATATAACTAGACCTTGATTGATAAACATGTTTTGCTTTATGTCTATATGCCTCTCCACCATTATCAGTGTCCATGGTAGCGTCATTAAAAACAATGTATCAAACTTATAATAGACTAAAAGGAAATAACTTGACTTAGTTTGTTTTGTTCAAATGTTTTTTGTGTGCTTCTTTTTTGTGTTTTTCAAATCTTTTGTAAATATGTTCTTTTTTAGTTTCAGCAATCCGTGGAGCAACATTCAATGTGTCAAGCAATTCAACAGATGGAAAATTGCTTGAAGGTCAAGATCTTAAACTTAACTGCAGGGTAGGAGGGAAATCTGGTTTTAAAGTTGCATGGCGAGGAGGGCAGGATTCTGTACCTTCAAGAACTGAGAATTGCATATCTACCAATACTGACAAGTACATTGTACTTAGTGACTGTGATGGATCTTCAATATTTAACATTGTTATCATGAATGTTTCACATAGTGAGGATCGTGGTAACTGGCGTTGTGTTAATGGTGGAGATGAAAGCACGCCATTAAACATAAGAGTCTTAGGTGATTATTACCTTTTCTTTACCTAATGCTTCCATATTATGCCTTCCTTACAGGCATGCAATTTGGTCTGTCTGTTTGTGCAAAATTTCTAAATAATATGTTCAACATGACATTGCACTGGCTTATCCTAATACTCTTCAACCTAAACATCAAGACTGTGAATGGGTCACCTAATTTTAAAGACCAGAGAGTCTCCCCCTCAATAAATAAATAAATAAAAAGAAAGAAAAAGACTTCCACATTCTGCACTCGGTTTAATTAACCATACAGTGATTTGATCTACTGCTCTCACATTTTGTCAGATTATGCCTCTGCCATTGGGCACTGGTATATTTCAACTGCAAATTATTCTTATCAAGGATTTGGCCTTCCAAAGCATATATCCACTTATTTATGGTTTATGCATGTATTCCTATGGCAAGGGTGGCCATCTTGGATTTAAAAAAAAAAAACTCGAAGATAAATGCTTGTAACTTGCCAAATATATATTATACGGTCAGAAAACCTCTGAGAGAAATACTAATCTGAGAGTGCCAATTTACTTTAAAAAATACACTTTGGCAAGCTGACTGTAGTACAACACACGGTGTAACTGATTGTTATGGTAGAAATTAACCATCATAGTGTATATAGCTAAGACGTCTCATATTTGAAGAGTGGAAACTCCAAATCAGTAATATGCATACCTTCTCATTTAATTTTAGTACCCTCAAGAAAACCTCTTATAACAGGCTATAATGGAAGTGAGATAGTACCTGGAAGAAATGAAAACTTGACATGTGAAAGTAGTTGTTCATACCCAAACATAACATTACGTTGGATGTCAACAACAGAGGTAGGTTTAAACTAGAGGATCAGAGAGGCGATACTGCCTCAGGATATTATACCACCAGCTAGAGTAAGTGCACTCGTATGGAAAACCCCCCCAAAAAGGGACACCACCACCAGTCTTGTGCTTGACAAGCTCTATAAAATGCAACCCACAAGAGTTGTCAAAATATGCAATAAAATTTAACTAAAAACGGTACAGTCAAGCAGATTTTCAAATTGACCTGTATTTTCCTAATATTGATCACTCCTGTGATTCGCTAGACAAAAGGCTTATTGGTTTTCCTTGAAATGTGTTGTCAGTGTTGCATGTATGCTGACAAAAGAAAAAACCTAGGGGCAACACGGCATATCTCTGCTAGTTTTGAAGACGCCAAAACAGAAAACTCTCTCTAATTTTAGAACCATTAATGCTAGAGACCTCTTATTTTTATGTACATACACAGGTGTGTCTGTACATATAGCCGTCATCTGCGTCTGTCATCGCCGTCGTCGCCGTGCACTTTTACCGATAACACGATAAGTGGAAAACCCTTTTACTTTTTGGCTTGAAACTTACATAACTGATGAATATTCATCAGCATGATTGGGTCATTTTTAGAAAATTTATGCTGTTTTTTCACTTTTTTCAGCATATATGCAGCATCGATAACACAATAAATGGAAAACCATTTTACCTTTTGGCTTGAAACTTACATAAACCTGTTATTGTGCATTGTGTAATAAAGTATCAAAAATGGAAAGGAACTCATCATTGCAGTTTGTTAGATTCAATCATTCACTATGTTCAGAATCTGCGAATGGAGCAAATTGGACGTTTAAAA